TTTCAGTGCTGTGCTTTATCCCGCTGCGCCACCAGGGAGGGCCTTATGTTTTTTAAGAAAAGATTTATAGACCAGAGGTACAGGGAGTGGGAGGATTCACCAGAGACAGAGTGGGGAGCAGAACAGGCAGATCTACTGAAACGTACTGCTGAGGGGAGATAGGAGAGGTCTGTTGCACTCTGTGGGTCAGCTCCTTGGCCTGGTGGCTGTGACAGCCTCATCATGTTGTGACTTAACCCCTTGTGCCAGGGAGGCTCCTACAGTCAGATTTCTAAAGTTTTAAAAATTTGCTCTTGTCAGTTCCTTTACTTTCTATAATCCAGTAAAGTTATAAAACTTACAACATCCTTCCTTTAAACAAAATCCCATTAGTATATTTTCCCATGGTGAATTTTTAATTTTATGTGTGCTCATGTAGTCTATTTTCTAATGATTTTAGTTCTACAGTAAAGTATTTGTAGGCAGAAAGAAAATAAGGAGGTAGTTAATAGAAGCAAGAAATTTCAACTCACCTGGAACATAGTTTTTAGATCCACACGAGGCATGCGCCCCTGCTCCTCAGAGGGCCTTCTGGAAAGAGAAGTGGAATTAGGACAAATCACTTAATCTCAGCTTAAACTAAAACCTGCCATCCCTGCTCTTTGTATACATCGACGAAGGTTGAGAGAGAAACTAGCATCTTGTATCAAAATAAAAAATCAGGGTTAAGGCTAACTGTTCCTTCAATTTCTCAAAGGTCCCAGATACCAGTATGGGACAGTGATGGCCTAGGAAGTGAATTTTTCTCTATAGTGCTCTGAGAATAATCTACTACAAGTAAGTTTCTGTTCTTGGCTAATGTCCCTTAGTTGTCTCTCCTTGAAATGAAATCTCTGTCAGTTCCAAAATTCTAACCCAAAACCAGAGCGGTGTCTCAGGGTTCCACTCTTAGCTGTCACTTGTACTTGTGGATGGATCTGGAGCGTCTCCCAATCCATATGAACCTATTCCCCAATCCTGACCTCACCCCACAAATGTATACCTCATCCGACATTTTTCATTCCTGCAAGGACAGTAATCCTGGCAGAGAACTTCCCGTATCACTAAGAGTTGTCTATGTGTGGGACTTGTACACTTCATGCAAATACAAATAAAGAGGACCTTGGGGGCCCTCTCTGATGGCACAAGGGTTTAAAGCACAGCACTATGAAGCTGTCCCCAGCCACTGTGGCACACATTCTATCCCCAGCCAGGGAGTACATGGCACAGCAGACCTGACTGCCCACTGCTCCCCTCAGCAGTATATTTCAGTAGATCTACCTATTCTATTCCCTACTCTGTCTCTGGTGAATCCTCTCACCCCCCACACGTCTGGCCTGTACCCCAGTTCTCATATGCATAAATAAATAAAAATAAATCTTAAAAAAAGAAAGAAATATTTGTGTATTTTTTAGGCCATGTATTTTCATTAATTTATCCAAATTAATGGATTCCTAAAAGTTACTACCGAAAACATTATTTCTAGTGAAATATGATGTCAAGTTTTCCAGCATCCTCTAAGTGACCAAGTTGAACATACAATTACTGAGAAATTATCCAGCAGCCCACTCTTCAATCAAAAGCATTGTTAGAGCAGTGGAGGAGAGGAATTCTTCAAAGTAAAGATTTAGGTTATGTAGGTTAGATGTTGTCGTGTGGTGAGGGGAAGTTGGTTGTATTTGACCATCTATGAGAGGAATTTAAAATTTTTTACAGTGGACATCTCGAAGTTGATAAGATGGAAATTTGGATTGAGTGTCAAGTCGGTGTAGAGTGAATCTCAGTCTGTGTCCATCAGAGACATGTAAATTTGGGGGTTGCAGATCTTGGCAGAAAATCCCTGAGTGATAAGTATCGAAACTATTCTGTTGTGAATAGAATATAGTACATTTGGGTGACATCTACGTAATTCATCATCCTTCAATTGCCACATGAACAAATTACGCTGACATTTAATAGCTAAAAGCAAGGAAACATGTATCTCACAGTTTCAGTGATTCCAAAATCTGGACATGGCTTAGGTTGGCTCCCTGGCTCAGCACTCTAGTAAGTCTATCAAGCTGGGTCAATGCTGCCATGATCTCAAGGTGAACATTGTGTGTATCTGTTCCCCAGCCTGCATGAGTGGTTTTGACAGGACCCGGTTACATGGACTGTTGATGGAAGCCACTCAACTGAGCAAGTGCAACATCAAAAGATGGCAGCAATGTGGAAATCATAATCTTTTGTCAAATCAATGAGAAGTAATGTTTCACTGCTTTCACCATGTTTTGTGAAGTAGGTTCCTTGGTTCACGAGGAGTATGCAAGGACATAACTATCAGATGATGATGGTTGATAACCCAGTTTCCAGTGGAACTTAAAAGTGGAAGGGGTTGCCTGCCAGCCACAATGCAAACCACGTATTCAGTGACAGCCGGTGGGTAGCAACAGCATATAGATCTCATCATTAGTAGTAGGCAAACCCGGCG